GGCAGAAAGAGAAAAACAACGGAAAAGGAGACTCGCCATCAGCGCCGTCACGATTCGCTTCAATTGATGTTGTCCGTTTTTCGCGTCGGATTTGATACACAATTCTACCGGCTATGTTCTAAAACAATTGGTTCATGCTTTCAGCTGTGCACTATCGAGTTATGGAGCACGCGGGAAGTTTGGAGAGCACGAAAGAAGCGTAAGGGTTGCCCGAGGCAATAGCCCGAGGCAATCGCCCGAGCCAATAGCCGAAGGGAGCCCAGTGCTCTGAAACTTGGAAATCCAGGGTGCTCAGCATACACTTTTTATGAAAAAAACTGAGATTCCTGAGTCGCCCAAGAACAAAACTGAGGGACCAGGGGCCACCGGGCACTGCTAAACCACAACCCCGATTTTGAGGATGTTTGTGATTAATGTTGTTAACTCTCTACACCCAAACATCAGTATGCATATTCTCCATACTGTTCTCTATACATTCCCCATGGCACTTGCCAAGGGGAATTTGTTTAACAGTTAAGAGCCTCTTTGGTTGTTCTCACAGGTCAGCAAAACTGGTGCCGAAGGTGCAGTCCTTGATGAAGCTAAAAACATCAACAAGTCTCTTTCTGCTTTAGGAAATGTTATTTCAGCCTTAGCAGAGGGAACGGTAAGCATGTGTAGGGCTTGACACTAACTGATCAACTTACTAGCCAAGTGACTAGTGACAACTTAGATGTTACGACAATTTCTGTTTGTTTACTACTACGACAACTAGAGTTTGTTAAGTATTGACTTTTGAGACTCAGATTGTGCAACGTATAGTATATGTATATGTTGCAACTCAAAAGTGTGTTATGTTGAATGTAATCTTTTGATTAATTTTTGCGTTTAGAAAACTCACGTTCCCTACAGGGATAGTAAAATGACGAGAATATTGCAAGAAAGTTTAGGTAAGCCATAGCTAATAAAATATTTGCATGTAACAGGTGTAACGCCAGCAAAAAAATTGTTGACTTTGTATAAATCAGCATGGCAGTGTAAAGTATTCCGAATGATGTGGTACAATTTCAAGGAATATCGATCCAAACTTGGCAAGTTTTTGCAAAAAAATGTATCTAGGGGGCAGATGCAAACATATCGGATTCTTGTGAGGCTTTGCCTATTTGCTCAAATTGACATGACCGCGGAGTCATTAACAAGGTCCATGGAGAGGAAACTCGACTATCACGTTCTGGATAAGTCAATTTTTCATGCATTCATTTTTCTTTTCACAGGTGGTAACGCTAGAACAACTATTATAATTTGCTGTTCTCCATCATCTTTCAATGAGCAAGAAACACGATCAACGCTCATGTTTGGTCAGAGGTACGTCTACAATTTTGCAGTGTGTCCTGAAATTTCCTACCGCAGTTGATAACAGTAAGATAAATGGATGACTTTTAGGCCCCTTGCACAAAAGTGAAAAATTTCCGGTTTATTTCTAATCAATGGTGTATAAGGTTAGGCACATAACAAGTAACTGGAATGTTCTTCAAGTCCAGTGTTACACTGTACCTATAAACTGTAATTCGAACACCTTAGGGCAAAAACCATCAAGAATGTTGTGGTAGTCAATGAGGAACTCACGGCAGAAGAATGGAAGAGAAGATTTGAGAAAGAGAAGGAGAAGAATTCCAAACTCAGAGGAGCTTTGGGCAGATATGAACAAGAATTGCAAAGATGGCGCGGAGGTAAGGAAGAATTGACAAGCTTTCACCCTCCTTTCGGCGGTCAACTCGTAACGTCTAGTTTCGCTTACAAAAGTTAATTTAGCAGATAGGTAGAGGTCTTGAAAAGAGACAGACGGATCAGATGGAGGGAATTGTAAAGCGGCTACGTGCGTTGAGGGCCATGACGACGACATAACAAGCGAAACGGCGTCGCCGTGGCAGAAACAAGTTCTAGCGACATTTCGCCTCGTTTGACATAGAGAATTTCTCAAAATTCTTGGTCTCTACTATAGAACGTTGTCATTGCGATCAGTTGCACAAATTCAAACAGATTTAAGAATACCAAATCGTAGTTTAGAAATAAAAGGGCTATAATGGCATTATTGCATCCCTCACAGGCGAGTCAGTTCCCACAGATGAACAGACGACAAACGCAAAAGATAATCGCAATTCTCAAGTGTTTGAGAGTTTGGCACTCCTGGCTCCATCACAGCCAGCTGTCAGCGACAAGGAAAGGAAAAAGTTCGAAGATGAGAAATCAAAGTTGTATATTCAGCTGGATGAGAAGGTGAGTTGAATGAACCCTTTACTGTAATGGAAAACAAACTTTGTAAATTTAGCTTTCGGGAAAATACTCCTATAGCTTATTTTTATCGAAGAAATAAGAGTCTAACTACCCCACCCAATCAGTAGAGTGCCTTTGATGTTTTTTTTTTTTTACTGTTTGGAAGAGTTTTTTCGCTGTTTGCAAAAATTTTTTTTTCAATGGGAAAAGTTAGGGTGGCACTTGAAAACAAATTTTAACTGTGAAGTAAACAAATTTTGTAAAACTTTTCCCAAGTGCGACCCATTCAGGAACGAAAGATAAAGAAAAATTTAAGCTGAAAAGTCCCGTAAATCTTAAAGGGGTGATATATGGTTACCATTTTCCCTTCAGTAATACTGGTGTATTTTTCGCATGCATATTCTCTAAACTGTTCTCTCTACATTTCCTAAGGTGCTAACAAGGAGAATTTGTTGAACAATCAAGAGCTTCTTTAGTTGATGATCATTTCCTTTTTTCTCGTGACCTTAATGTGTAAATCAGAGGTGATATTGTATGGAGAAATTAGATAATAGATCAAAGGGTTATATTCAATGCCACCATACCACTTGAAACTACTTTTAAGTGGCTTCCTTTTGAGGGCTTCTGTTCACGCACAAATCTCTACGATAGCTCTTTCAAATTCTGCGTGTATTTTCTCAACTGACTATGAACTTCGTTCAATTTTCTCTGAAGGATGAAGAAATTCAAAATCAAGCACGATTGATTAACCAGCTGAAGGAACAAATGGCTGATCAAGAGGAAGCCCTTAAGACAACTCAGGTTGACAGCGAAAAGCTTCAGACGCAGATCTCTTCCATGCAGACCGAGAGCGAGACGTCAAAAACTGAAGTCAAAGAAGTGCTGCAAGCTCTGGAGGAGCTGGCGGTGAATTATGATCAGAAGCTTCAGGAGGTGGAGACAAAAACAAAAGACAACGAGAAGCTATCAGAAGAAGTATCCCAGAAACAGGTTGAGTATGGGCCTGATTACATGAGCCGGGCTGGCCCTGTTAGCCAGGGTGATTTCTTTTGTTTTGGTGTTCGCCAAAGCGTGAAAACAAAAGAAATCAGCTCGGCTAACCGGGCCAGCTCGGCTCATGTAATCAGGCCCTATTGTGGCAGTTTTTCAACGCATCTGGTACCCGTTTGGTTTAGGTGTAAATTTGTAACTTTGCGATGACTTGGTATAATTCTGGCTGATATTACATCAGTCTTATTTCATTTATCAGTTTTCGTCGCTTTTCTTTCAGCTTCCAATTTATTCATTTTTAAATCCTATTCATCTTTCTTTTAATCGAAAAAAACACAAATTTCGAAGCAACTCGTAATTAACAGATCAAATGGCAGAATGTGACTAGAAAATTCCAAGTTCACACAACAAGGAACGCCGCCTGTAAGGGAATAACTAGGAAACTTTGTTGCAGAAACATTGTTTCCTTTGTTGCGGAAACATTGTTTCCTGTTATGTTTCCTGGGGTGGCTAAATTAGCGGGAAACAAACAAAATGTTTTGCTGCTCCAGTGGCTAAACGAGAAAACATTGTTTCGGAAAACAAATGAGCTACGCATGCGTTTATGAATAAACTGACTTCGATGAAGTCTGGGGATCAAAGGATGTTCAGATTTTCATTATAGCAAAGCCTTTTGTGGCATTCTGCACAATAATAAGGAACTTCAGCATCTTTTACCACTTCCAAGAGGAGTGATACACAGCGCTTGTTTGTTGACCGGACTTCTTTTTTCTTTCCAGGGCCTGTTCCCTCATAAATTGTGACCCGATAATTTTCTACATGCTCTTGTAATCCTCCCGACTAATATCATATTTTTCTGTCATCAGTAGATGATGATTTGCGAATACGCCACCTCCTTACTTTCCCTGTTCATGTAGTCCTTATGACCCACGTCCCAGAGACAAGGCCTTTCCTCATACAGCGTAATTAGCATTTCAATTTCTTTATCTTTCCAATTCCTTTCCCTTCCCTTTCCCTTTCTTTGAGCGTGACCTGCTTGAATATCTTCGCAGTCAGCCATTTTAATTGTCTGCTCGCCGTTGCTATGAAACATTTTTCAGTGTGCGAGCGGCACTGGAAATTAATTAACATTGTTTTCATCGTGACTAAACTGGGAAACATATGTTGCGGACGCAAAATTTGTGTCCGGGAAGCAAAAATGTTTTTGTCTGCAGGCAAAAACAATTTTTGTTTCCAAGCAGGAAAATTTGTTTCCGCAACATGTGTTTCCCGCGCGGCTAAACTGGGAAACATTTGCCTCCGCAACAATGTTTCCGCAACAATGTTTCCGCAACAAAGTTTCCTATTTTAGCCTGGCCTTAAGACCGCTGACCGCCCTCTGATGAGCTTGCGAGCAGGCTCTTCTTTTTTTGGTTTCATCGTACGGCCCCTTTTCAAGTTATTAGTACCCCTAAGTTTTGGTATCACGGCTTCGTTGTTCTACTGGCGGGTAACGCTAATCATTAGATATATAACTCTCTGTAAGGGAATTATTTTTTTTGAGTGTTTTGTGGAGTAAGTCGGTTTACTAGTGTATGGAATAAACGGGCCTACAGTTGATCTTTCCCGCGCAGGAAAAGGTTGCCCGCTTTGTTATTCTAGAAGAAAAGATGTCTTTCAGTAACGCATTCCTGGTGGAAAATGGCACTGTGAGAAGAAAATATCTAGCTTAAAAACACAACATAGAGAATAAAACGAAACGGTTTTGGTTATCGAAACGAAACCTGAGATTGTGACTTCGGGGTACGAAACTTCTTTATACGGAGTCCATTGAGCTAACCATTGGATTACTGTGCGATCTATCTTTACATATCCGATATGCAAAAGTGTTGTTCAAAACGAAATTCATATCTTTTAACAGATGCAACTCAACAGTATCTCCAAGGAACTGCTAGAAATTAAAGATAGCACGTCTGTGTTGAGGAAGAGACTGGCAGAGATGATGAACAGCCTGTTGTCAGATCTGGTGAGTGTCAGCCTCGAATCTCTCGTAAAGCCGTGATTTCGGGGTCGCTACTTTTTGAATTTGCACACAAGATTTTAACACCATGGCTACCTTCGGTGGGTCGACACGCGCGGAACCCTGTCTTGAGTACTGGTGTCTTCATTTATTAATTTGTTTTCCTTCCAGGGCGAAATTGGTAACGTTATCGGAGGAAATGCTGCTGAAATGAAGGTAGTGAAATGTGCACTAAACTACACAAAGATCAGTTTACTTTTTTTTTCTTGGAAGAAATTTGTTTCTGGTAATTTGCATTGCGTTATATTTTCTATTCTTTCGTGGTCAGTAAAGTCTTTTATCAGTTTTTGGTTTGATTAACTTTTTCTTGCGTGTCCTGCGGTGGTTAATAAGTCAGAATTGGTTACATTACATACTTTTAGTTGTCTGTGATTCGAAAAGTATGTGTACAAGATGTGTACTACATTGTGTACGGTGTGTGTAGCATATTGTGTCCAGTATGTGTGCTATATCGTGTACACTTTGGGCATTACATTAGCTAGTTCATTGTGATTGATTCTTTCCTTTTTAGAAACCGAACATTGATTGTAGTGGCAATTTGGACGAAGATTTTACCGTCGCCCGACTATATGTGAATAAGATAAAGTCGGAGGTTAAAACTCTTTCAGTGGTAAGTTTTGCACCCAACTACATTCTTGACAAATTAAATTTACATCCATTCTGCGAAAGGAATTTACGTTGCTGCTTGAATACGCTGTTTAGTTAATTTTGTGGCCTGTTAAACAGTAAAAATCTAATTTGGTTTTTGTTTTGTTTTCGTTTTTATCTTGTAGCGTTCGAGTAACCTTGAGATAACCGAAAGTGATTTAAAGTCGTCACTCGATGGGAAGAACAAGGAACTTAATCAATCACTGCTTCTTATATCACAGGTATTTTTGAATCTACACCATAATATTTTTAGTCATTTTCTTTGGCCTGGGAAATCATATTTAGCTATGGGGACGATAGTAAAGATTAGATATGTTAGTAGGCGAAAACACACAAGAGGCGATTATAAAGCAAGAAGATAGAAAGATGGCTAATGATGAAGAAATAATTTGGATATATCAACAAAGTTGAAATGGTAAATTGGCCACCGTAACGATTACAAAAGCTGACGTTTCGAGCGTTAGCCCTTCGTCGGAGCGATTCGCTCTGACGAAGGGCAAACGCTCGAAACGTCAGCTTTTGTAATCGTTACGGTGGCCAATTTACAATTTCAACTTTGTTGATATATCCAAATTATTTCGTTACCCCCACCGACGCAGCCCCAAACAGTTTCTTTAGAAACTATCTGCCTTTAATGATGAAGAAGATTGACGCATGCAAAGGGGAACCGAAAAAGTTAAAGCGCAATCCGTAAAGTAGAATTTCCCCTTCACCTCTGTAGACTGACGCGCCATCCTTTAGACACTCTCCTTATAGAATTATTTTCCAGTGAGTGTCGAAAATAATCCCGAATTGCTTTTGGTTTCGCTTTACGTCGCTCTGTGATTGGTCCAGCAAACTCGCGCCACTTTTTTAACCAATCAGATACAAAACTATAACCAATCACGCCTTGGTCACTCGCGTTTTCCCGCGCTTGAAACAGTCTGCCCTCTCATTGGCTCCTTGTTATCTTTCCCTTGTTTTGATTGGCTGTTGGGATAGCTTTTTTCTTTGTTTTATGAAGCCCAATCAATAGAACTTTACGTAATCAGTTCAGTAGCCCTGGTTTTAGTTTAACGACACTCCAGACATGCGCTTTTCCGGAGACAAGGCACTTGTCTTTTATTGACCTCCCCATTTTTTTCTTAATCTCAGTATGAAGCTAAGATGAAAACACTCGAAGCAGACATGAAGGAAATGGAATCGAAGAAGAGGATCCTGGAAGAAGCCGTTGACTCTCTGAACGAAGAAATAGCCAAACTAAAGGCAAAAGGTAACGCACAGTATCTCGTAATAGCCTCTAAGGCTGCTAGCTCCTAAGATGCAACTTTGAATTCCTCCTTCCAGCCACTAAGTTGCTGCTATGAATTCCTTGTGAATTAGGTAGTGAATTTAGTGTCACATCAAGACAACACAGAATGTTGAACGCATTTTGCATTAATCGATTGCATGACCAGTAGCATTTGTAAAATTTCTGGTGTAAAAAGATCTCTTTTCGAAGCTTCATCTTTAACATCTTTTCCTTCTTCTCTATTCGTATTTTTTTTTATCACAATTCTCGGAGTGATCAGTGCTTTGTTTTGACAAGTAATTTGATTGCTGTGTCAAACAGACGGTTGTAAATGAGGACCAGGAAAATTTTGGACCGAGAGGTGTTTGAATGTTATTCAGATTCTTAGGAAAAGTCCAAAGAGAAAGATGTTGTCAACATTAAGGAAACTTCTCTTCCAGATTTTGGTAGTTTAAGGGTTCGTTATCGAGAAGGAATTATAATAGAGCCAAAGTAAAGCGCGTGCTCTGATTGGTCAATTTAGCGTCCCCCATTTGCCCATGGGTGTACGCTGCTGACGTGAGCAAATGCAAAGACTATTTTTCCGCGCACGCTTGTTTTTTCTGAAGATTTGTTAAATAAAAGGGAACTCTTTAGCTACAATGTATCAATGTTATGTTATAAAACAAATGGTAAACACCACAGCGTACACTATTGAGTTATGGATGCACGCGGGAGGTTGCTANCAAACTCGCGCCACTTTTTTAACCAATCAGATACAAAACTATAACCAATCACGCCTTGGTCACTCGCGTTTTCCCGCGCTTGAAACAGTCTGCCCTCTCATTGGCTCCTTGTTATCTTTCCCTTGTTTTGATTGGCTGTTGGGATAGCTTTTTTCTTTGTTTTATGAAGCCCAATCAATAGAACTTTACGTAATCAGTTCAGTAGCACTGGTTTTAGTTTAACGACACTCCAGACATGCGCTTTTCCGGAGACAAGGCACTTGTCTTTTATTGACCTCCCCATTTTTTTCTTAATCTCAGTATGAAGCTAAGATGAAAACACTCGAAGCAGACATGAAGGAAATGGAATCGAAGAAGAGGATCCTGGAAGAAGCCGTTGACTCTCTGAACGAAGAAATAGCCAAACTAAAGGCAAAAGGTAACGCACAGTATCTCGTAATAGCCTCTAAGGCTGCTAGCTCCTAAGATGCAACTTTGAATTCCTCCTTCCAGCCACTAAGTTGCTGCTATGAATTCCTTGTGAATTAGGTAGTGAATTTAGTGTCACATCAAGACAACACAGAATGTTGAACGCATTTTGCATTAATCGATTGCATGACCTGTAGCGTTTGTAAAATTTCTGGTGTAAAAAAATTTCTCAAGAAGCTAGAGTCGCTCTCGGCTATCGCCTCGAGCGACTCTTACGCTCCTTTCGTGCTTAGCAACCTCCCGCGTGAATCCATAACTCAATAGTGTACGCTGTGGTGTTTACCATTTGTTAATTGACGTATTTTGATGGGCTTGCTGAAAACAGGAAATAAGTTGTCGTAACAAGTTCTCGGCTGATTGAGTTATTGAGCTTTTTGTCCGAATAGTCTGCGCACTTATTGAACAAGTAACAACAACAAAAAAAAACCTAGCTAAACAAAATAAAATACAAAAGAGCGAATGACAAAGTTCTCTCTTCGTGCAGAATCCCAAAAAGGCATGGTTGCGAATTTTATAGCTTCTGAAATAAAATGGAAGTCTAATATACCTCACCCACTAGTGTGCGAACAGGCAATATTAAACTGAGTGCTTTTTTGACCTATCTATTTAAAGGTTATGATTCTCTTTCAGACAATTTGCAGACCTAGTTTCAGTTTTATACATTTAGCGCATAAGTTGATGCGCCACGAACAATGCATTATCGATCTTTTAGCTTAATTTCAGACGATTATCGATGGTTGGTGGTATAGCAGTTTTTATGGAATATGTGTTCGTGTATTTTTCTTTGTTTATACTCGACTGTCAGATTAAGATCATTCACTTCGCATTCTGATTGGTTGTCCTAATTACGAGTGATATTAAAGGTTACACACGTGACCAAATGCGTTGCATGGATTGGTTCATGAAAAATAACCGATTAAACAGTTTTGAATTGGCTTTCCGACTATTAGAGGTAAAATATCTCAGGAAATGAAACTTGTAAACAGCAGATTTTATTCAGGGAAATACCTCTCCTTGCGGAATCATTCTCCACACAAGTAATTGGTAAAAGCTACGGAGCGAGTATCAGGGAAAGTACAGTATATTCTGTTTTTTGTCTGAGTGTAGTCGCTTATTTAGGTAAGAAGTTTTTTAAAAGCAAGTAATATACAGGAATTGAATCTCTTTCTGAAAAAGTGTATCCCTGTGTATTTGTTTTACTTTGTACTGACTTTCTTTCATCATTATTTCTTGTGAAGTTCTGTCTCAATCGTCTTTACTAGCCTTTTGTCACAGTATCTTGATTTGAAGCAAAGCGATGGCTAGGTGACTAAATTATTTCTCACACAAATATCCAATTGTTTTACAGCTCAGATGCACGCTCTGGCTTTGAAAGACAAGGAAGAGGAACACGCGGGTTTGCTTCACACAGCGGGTGAAATTCAGGTATTGTTGTAAAAGATTGCTTTAGCAATGACTAGTAAGTACTCGCTTGCTGATCTAAAAGAATTTTAAAGCATCAAGGAGCCAATCAGAATAAGGCTCTGTATTTTCGGCCAATCAGGTGTTGCAGGTATCTCGCCTTTTCCCGCGCTCGCAACTCTCACTACCACGTTTTTCTGTTCTTTTCATGAAAACCAACGAACCAATCTAGAGAAGAATTTTTGCTTTCGATCAATCGTGTCATTCTGATCGCGTGCTTTTCCCCGCGCTCTGAACCAGTGCTTATACATATTCCTGCTTTTTCCATGACAGTCGTGCACCATGCACCTTCAAGCGAAGTTTTCTTCTTTTCCCGCCAGTCATCTTGTAATTGTTTCTAATTGTTTCTTTTAGCGGCTTATTCGAACAGAGCAGTATTTTCTTCTCTTTCATCCATTTCTTTCTTTCTTTCGCTTTTGTTTTGTTTCTTCTTTAAAAGCCAATCAGGTTCATCCCGTTATTTCTAATGCATTTGGCACAGACAAATTGCGACGTTTTAAGAGCAAGTGGTTAGGGATAATACTGATGAAGTGACAAGGGTGAATTTATGATACATCCTGTCTAGACAGAATTTAGATGTATTCTGATTGCTGTTTTGGGTAATAAGCAAAGTGTTTTTTCTTTTTAAGTAATCAAGTTTTGTTTTCCTTTCTAACCTCAACTTTACTTAACCTTATTTAAATCGTTCCTTCATTCACCACCTAAAGTATTATTTGTGAAACTTGTGCATTATGTTAAGAGGAATACGAAGGAAAATTATCGGAATTTTCCCGTTAATCTTTATTTATACCTGTATGGTTTTTTTTTAGCAGATTAATTTATCGTGTATTATTGTGCATCTTCCTTGTTAGCAAAGAATTCCTCTAGACTTTCACTCCTGGAAGAATTGTTTATACGTTAAGATGGGTGTATCTTGAAGTGGCTCATAGGTTTTCTTTTTCTAATGTAATTTTGCCTTTGGCTAAATATGATAAGGTGACACGTTATTTAGGGAAAAATTCCCGTCTTGTTTAAATCCTTGAACATGAATTCCAAGGTCTGTTCCTCAAGATGCAAAAATTTTTATAGTTCTTTTTGTCAAGAAAAACTACGAGGTTGTTTTGTGCTTCGATGTTGCTCTGATTTACTTTCGATTGTGTCTTTCAAAGAGCGTTTGATAAAAGACGGATCGAGAATAATGTAAGCCATTATCTGGCTATATTTCACTGAAAATAAAAGGTTGGGTTTCTTGGCCCTGTGCCTCAACGCATGTAAAAAATTAGCTTTCAGCTAAACAATGTACTTGATATGTCTGTTGTTTAAAAACGCCTGCACTAGCGATTTGACTTGCAAATGATATCATTTCACCCTTCTCGTGGATTTTTCAAAACGAAGCACGCAATTTGCCGCATTTAATGCAGAAAGGTTGCCTCCATTTTAACGCAAAGAGAGGTGACCCATTATTTCTCGCGAACTGTGATTACGCGTGATGTTAGATCGATAACATGAGCAAACACATTCAATATTCTGGCGTTGGTTTTACGAGCGAGACCTATGGTTGGCGATATTCCGATTACCGTGAATCATCAATTGATTATGTCCTAGACTCGTTAAATAATGTTATCGACGAAGTGCTGCAGAACGCAAAACCCAGGGTTTGTATATAAGATTGTTGCGTTTGTCCTGCCTTTTTTGTGCGCTATTTTATGCGCTATTTTATGTTTAGAGACAATCTTTTGGGCATTTTTTGTGCAAGCCAACAATGGAAGTTGGACTAAACACGAACTTTTAAGTCGAACAACACAAACAATTTATGTGAGCAATTACAAGAGAATTTTTTTGTTATAATTCCATTTGTGTATAAAAGAAACATTGCATCACGACAGATTGTAGCTCTTTAAGACCTTGTTTTGAATGATTGATCACAGTGGTTTACGAAGTTACAGTGAAAAATCTAATTTTGATCACTCGCGAACAGAAACTTTCTCAATTTTGAATATTGCTCGTGGAGCTTATTATGTCACTTTGTTTTTAGTTTCGTTTCTCTAAAATCAAATGCATTTTTTTCTTCAGATAAATCAGGGTGCAATTCTTCTTTTCCTTCTTTTTCTCCTCCCAAAAAAATGTTCTAACTGGATTTGTTTTCGTTTCTGAACAATCGATTTTGTTTGGATTTCAATTTGGTAGTCAGTTCGGGGAGAGGTACTTAATTGGCTCGACTAAATTTTAATGAAAAATACCTGTAAATGATAAGTTTACTTTGAAACATCGATTGGGATTGGAAGATTAAGTCATTAACATTCAGTATGTGTGGTTTTCCAAGTGTTCTCGAAAAAACGTTTCTCGCAAATAGCGTTTTTTTCTCCAATGTCCACACACGCCCATAAAGTGATTTGAAAGTAAACCTTGGTGTTGCTGTAGTAATATGTCATCCATTTGATTTTTCATAAAGTGATTGATTTAGTTCCCATTGCTTAATAGTTTTATCGTTTTCATTGGGGATGATCTTAAAAGAAAAAATATTGTTGTTGTAAATTTGACTGTGTTTTTCAAATCGTCGTCTCTAACCTCGGCGGGTTTTTGGCAGAGTGATACATTGTTTGATTAATCGTCTCCACCGAAAAATTTACAGATTTTGCTGCAATAAAACTTCGGAAAAAGTTGTGTAGTCGATACTAGAAGTTTCTCGCTTAAAATATAATCGAAAATCCCCGATGATTCCGAAAATTATTTTGTCTTTGTTTAGTTTTCCAATGTGAGGAAGGACTCTCCAATTCCGTTAATCCTAGCGGGTGGTAAATATTAATACAACCCGGAATTAAAGTGCTGTTGTCTGTCACGCGATTTGTAGTCGCTCCGTTTTCAAAATGTGGTGTTGCTGAAGTGAGGGGCTGGAATCGTGGCGGAACTATTGTTTATATGGTGTAGGTGGATCTTGAGAAGAACTATTGCCGAAGATTAGAAATGATTCAAACTGATAGCAGATGCCATAACTTCTGTTGTGTCGGTCTGCAGAGTCCAAATGTAGGTTCTTCGTAAGTTTTCGTTTTTTTCCAGCCTGATTCTTTCAAGATTTTGTCTGTTATTTGTAGTATTCTTTTGAATACAAGAAACAAATAACATTGTGTATAATATTTACACCATGCACATTGCATTGCGCCTCAATACGCCTCGTAATTTTTATTTCACAATACTTGCAATAGCCATAGAATACCCAGGTTGCCTTTACGGATTGAAATTGGGCAAGAGGTAGTAAATATTACCCACTTTACATTATATTTATTGCCGTGATTTTCTGCTTCCACAAAGCTACAAAAGATATACCTTGTCCGACCGCTACATTGTTTGCGTAGAATGCCACCTTTTAATTTTTTTTTAAGTCTTAATATGATTTCAGAACAAGTGTAAGTTATCACAGATCGATGAGTTGAGGAATTTCTTAATTCTATAGCGCTCGGTGCTTGGCGTTGTATTTTTGATGTCACGATCAACATGCATGTTTATGTATTGTTTTTTGATGCACTAGTCTAAAGATATAATGAAGTTGTGTCTCGTTGCAGTCTGCGTTGGAGAAGCAAATGATCAGCCATAGAGAGGCACACCAGAAACAACTGTCAACTCTCAGGGACGAGATAGAATCACAGCAGGCTACCATTGCTTCAGTCAAGGAGTAAGTTTGTTAAATGACAACTATTGATAAGAAATTCGTTTTGTTGTAATTCCACGAGGCTCTTTCTGGTAAAACAAGGCGCCATTACAAACGGCACGATATTAGCGTGGGAGTGAAGAAACGATAGAAGTTTGGGTCGGGTTACGTAACTCGACCCAAGCCTCTACCACCGTTTACTTTTACGTTCCGTTTTACGAATTGAACGCGTCGAACAGGCTATAATTCCACTCAGGATGTGTGAATGTCAGTGTGAATTCTCCTAAGCCAATCAGAGACGATCGTCCTCGCCAACTTCTACGCTGTGCTTGTAACCAATCATGTTCAAGAGTATGACAGCTGCGTTTTTGTTGGACGTTCGGCGATGGCGCTAATTTCTGTTGAGGAATCTCTTCATTCGTTTGTTTGAGTTTTTGGAGTTACCATATGAGATGTGCCGTTAGGTTAGTTGTTACGTTTGAAATCCCCTACACGACACTTCCACTGTTTTCAACGATGAAACTTCTGTTTTCTTCAGGACCAACCAGAAGCAAGGGTTGGAGAGAGATCACCTCATGGTCAGTACTTCCTGGCGTTGAGTTGAATTACCGCTTTTTACTTAAAATTCTAATTTTGTTTTGTGCATCTTACAAAGCAAATTTATGGATTTTTGTCGCAAGCTTACTTTGCTATTATTGTTATTGTAAATGTTTTCTTTTTTGTTTTGCTTTTTTTCATTTAGTTTGAAAATGAAGCTCTTAAACGAGAACTTGAAGAGAAATCAAGTCGGTTAGCCGAAATGAGGTGAGTAAATTGTATTTTTCCAAGTCCTAGAAATACTTTCGAAGATTACTTGTAGTTGCAACTTTCTCTTTACATTTTAACTTCTTACCAACCGAGCGCGATGGCCGTACGGGGAAATTTTAGTCTAAGGTCGTGGCAGCACGGACTGAGCACAAAGAGGTCCATACAAAAACGACTCAGGGCCAATATTCCCCAGTACGGCTCGAGTAAGCGGGATTAGCAAGTAGTTTATTATACGGCCCTTGGACCAAACTTCTTTACTTTCACTTTTTCGGTTTTAGAGAACAAAACTACAGGGCTTATGACCATTTCCGGTCCGTATGGCAAAGTCGCGACCAAGTTAGAACCAATCAGAACGCTCACACTTACCTTAGGACCACTTTGCCATAGAAGAAATTGCAATTGACACAAATTCTCGGCAGTCCAAAAACAACACTTAATGTTGCGATGTACTTTCGGTGAGGTTTTGCTAACGTAAAGTTTTGTTCCTCAGCGTCCAAGCAGAGAAAAGAGAACAGGCTAAGAAAGATCTCAAAGGACTTGAGGAGACTGTGGTATGTGCATTCATGTAGACAGGAATATACGCGCAATAGAGTGCTTTCGATTGAAAGTAATCACAACAGCCAATCAGAAGAAAGAAAAATACCTTAAAGAGCCAATGAGAACTCAGAATAAGAACAATCAAACTGCCCAACGCGCGGGAAAACGCGGGCGACCAAGTCATGACTGGCATGCATCTGATTGGTTGAGAGAGTGGCACGAGTTTTCTGGACCAATCACAGAGCAAAGTAAAGCAAAACCAGTGAAATGCTGGATTACTTTCGACACTCAATTTAAAAGTGCTCTTTTCTATGACCTTGTCATTGTATTTTCTGACAGGGTTCTTAACGATCACTGAATAATAGAAAATCTTGAAATTATACAAAGCCATTCTCTTGGCCTAAATAGTAATGGAATTTGAGTGTGGCTCTTGGAATGTTATAGAAAGTGACTGGAATGATTTCTCTAGTACTACGAAGTTAAAAACGCCCCGAATGATCGTTTTCACTTTATATGGCGTCCAACGTCTTCGTTGTTTGTAGTAATAATATCGAAGTACGAACTCCGAATTTCGCACCTAAGAAAAAATCGAATCGTAGTTGAGGGCGCTATTCAACCTCAAGTTACAAAGAATGATTTCAGTTGGAGAAAATTAATTTTAATGTCAAAATAATGTCAAATCTCTCTTTTAACCAACAAGGTCCGAAATACTTAAGATGGGTTTTCTTTAACAAAGCTTACCAACGTTGCTGTCCGTAATTACCTTAACTGTAGAGAGATCACAATAATAATGCCAACACTTAACGTTAGTTTGATGAATATTTGCTTTTAGCATAAAGAGTTGGCGACACTGTACCGACTGCGGCAGCTGTTCGTTAAAGACTTGCAGGCCCGATTAAAAGTGGTAAGCAAAAAACGCTGCCATATGTTTGTACTTGTTTAAACCGATTTCAATCAAAGAGAATCATGCACATGATCCACATGATCCACGGCTTGTTACTACGCCGTTGATGCCATGCTTGTCCAACACGTCATAATCTAGATCTTCAATTGTTTGACTGACTCATCGCTGATTCCTCTTTCCCAGACCAACTCGGATACTGACTCGGAGGAAGAAGGAGGAAGCCAAGCACAAAAACAGAAGATTGCTTTTTTAGAGAATAATTTGGACCAGCTAACGAAGGTCCATAAACAAGTGAGTACTGTTGTCCTTACTACGATACATAACTTCTCTTTGATTTATTTCTGTATGTTGTCTTCAATAAGTTATGAGAGTTTGGTTTTTCATCTCGTCCCTGTTGGTGATTTTCTTTTTCGGCTGTGTGCGTAAGTTGCTAGGTTCTATATTTTTTAAGCTTAGTCTACGCATGCACGTTTTCCCAGAAATGTCCTTTTTCCACTGCGTTGACAACGTCTGAATTACAGCTTCATTCATTCCAAGAAAATTTCATTGAAAAGTCCACATTCCAAAAAAATTGCTCGCCGTGGACTTCAACAAAGAAAAGCTGTCAAGAACACTTTTGAAGGGTAACTTACTGAGGTTGAATTTTCGTCACGCCATTTTTTAATTTCCATGACAAAATACCCAGTAAGTTATATACACAACTGAAACCGTCGTGCATAAGCTTTCTCCTGAGAGATCTCGCAAAAAAGAAAACCCTGTGTGTCTGTTTTTGGTGTAGAGGACTAGCGAAGAGGATGTCGTGACAAATTGATCTACTCATCAGATAGATTCCATGTTGCCGTGCTTCTTTTAAGTAGTAATTCAGAGAGGTCAAAATGTTGTGAGGCAAAAACAGTGGCACGCGAGGCGCTGCTGAGCGTGTCGCTGATGTTCTTAACACATTTTGACGTTTTGTAATCTAGTACTGAACATACGCACGGCAACATGGAATGTCTTCGTTTTCTGTAATAAAGAAGCAAACAATTGTTTATGATGTCGTCATCTGTGCGTCGGTTCTCCAATAATAGATCATAAGCAAGAACCAAATCATGTGCGTGTCTATTTCAGCTTATGATAGAATCTGCGTTAGAAAACCCGGCCGCTAAGCGGGATTTGCTGTTTTTAATACGGGCATATGATTGGTTTGAATAGCACTATCTTAGTGACATGTTAAGCAGAGTTCACTGTGATTTTCATTTTTAAATCGTTCATGTTACTCATCTGTACCCCTTGTCATCTAGTAATCAACACATCGTGTATCGGAATATTCGATGCTTGTTTATAACGGCATTAACCCGAGATCGTGGGCCGCGACCCGCCCTACCCCTCTTGCAAACCGTGTTGTTACCCCTCTATAGTATTCTTAGGTCCTACAGGAGACAAGATGATTTAATTTTGTCAACTGAGTTGATAACGTAAATTGGCCATCGTGAAGAGTTTTTAAAGCTAACGGTTCAGGAGTGAGCCCTTTGTCAGAGCCCTCTATCAGAGCCTTCGATAGAGAAATTTGTGTCTTAAGTTATAGATGATACTCAAAGGCGATTCAACCTCACGACCCCTAAGATTGACCAGCATCTAATTTCTCCTTACAATATCACCTCTGAATCACGTGACAGTAAAGGAATGGGCCCCAACTCACCTCTGAATCACACGACAGTAAGGCAAATGGGCCCCAACTGAAGTAGCCCTTGGTTGTTAAACAAATTCTCCTTTTTAGCACCTTAAGAAATGTATAGAGAACTGTATGGAGTCTGTACTAACTGATGTTAAGGATTAAGGGTTAAGAAATCCAAAGTGCAAATTCAAGTGTGAAATTCGTTTCAACAGCCGCAAAGTTTAAGTCGGTTTTAACTGCAAGTACGTGCATGTAGTTAGCTTTTTGTGCTCTCTCAAACTGTATAAGCGCCGAGGCCCTTTCATAGATAGTATAGCTCTCTTTGTTTGTGGCTCAGAGTTGTTTCAATTGTTAATTCTTAAATGTTTTATTTCAAACAGCGGAAAGCCTTACAGAGAGTGAAGATGTTAAAGCAACAGATTGAATTTCTTTCTTTTGCTTGTTAGAATCGATCAATCGGCTATTCTTCCGGAGATTTTTCTATATTTGTTACGGGATTTGAGAGGCAGATACTCTCATTCGCCTTTTTTATTGGAATTTGGGGCAATAGTTTTAAAATACTTATTAACGTAAAATTTTGGGTTACCCGATCTCTTGAGGATTTTTTTGGGGGGATTTGAAAGTGGAATTTTGAGAAAAAAAAACAAGTAGAAATTGGTAACAAGCAGATAACGAGAGGTACTTTAAGAATGAAAAGATTCAAAACTCTACTTTATTTAAGACTTTACCGGAAACAAGATAAATCAGTCCTGTCCAATTTCCACGATATTTGTCAAGATTTGGAATATTTTTGTTATACATTTCTGTGCACTAAAAAGGTTTCTATGGCTTCATTAATTTAACTATTTGCGACTTGATATGTAATGAAATGAGACAACATTGATAGGTATTCTTTTTCGAAGACAATATAAGTGATCCTCTGATATGTAACCTCTACAAATCGTCAGTGAATGTAATTTTATGCGTCTGCCTTTACTAACGGCGTTTTAAAAAGTCTTTAATTTGAAAATTTCTACTGTTGTCAGACGTATTGTAAAGGGACAATCATATTTAAAAGAAAACATTTGGAAATTCGGTCAATTTTTTAACTTGGGCTCTGTCGTGCCAATAAGATTTTTTTGAAATATTTTAACACTAAGTAAATACTTTGATATAGATCTTGTATTAAAAGATGGGAAGGTTTCAATAAAAGTGAAAGGAATACTGTTGTTTTCGTTTGGAAACTTCTTCACCGCTAAGCATTGGCAAAAGAAGTGATCGATTAGAATGTTTGAAAATCACAAGCGAAGATGCATGCCCCATAGAAATAGCCGCAGAACAAAGTGTTGTTGACGAATACGCTTCTGGGAAATCACCCATTAGGAGAGTGTACAGACCTTTGCAATTTAACTTAACTGCGTTTTTTAATCGTACTGTATTTCCCCTTCTTCTATAAACGTAACTTTCAAACCACTAAAAGGTTTGTATAAACTCTCCTTCACTTTTCTGAGTCATTTACGAAGGCAGTCTGTTCAGTTTTTACAAAGGTGAACTGCAACCTTCACTCGGAACGATTTGATCTTATTAGAACAAGAACTGCCATGACGCGCTTTTATACAGATTCAATATTGGTCACATACCTCGTAGAAATGTTGGTGATAATATTGTTCTAGTATGTCTAATTTTCTCATATAGGCCCGAGTGAAGCATAATAAAACAGATTTAGAACCTCTTTAAACTGATTGAGATATTTTGTGTAAGTGTATACCGCTCAGGTAATTAGTATTTCTTATCATTTACAGCTCGTTAGAGATAATGCTGACTTGAGGTGTGAATTGCCCAAACTGGAGAAGCGCCTGCGAGCAACACAAGAGCGAGTGAAGTCCTTAGAGCAGGCTCTGAAAGAGGCCAAGGAAGGTGCGCAGAGGGACCGGGCACGATATCAGAAGGAGGTGGAGAGAATCCGGGAATCTATGAGACAGAAGCAGGCCGCTGTACGTAAAGGCGCCCAGGGACATATTGGTAAGAATTTGGACTTAAAGGAGTATCTTATGCTTGATAACTTTGGTTTCGGTTACAGAAATCTCAATTCAAAACTTCTTTATTCTGTAAACTTAAAAATCGTGGAGGAGAATGGGAGAGAAGAAACGAGCTTTGTGTCAGAGAAAAATAAGAAAGACACACATGTGAGCTATTTCATGATAACTCCATTCTGGATCATCATCTGACAATGTATTGTGGTCACTGTAATCTGCGCTTTCCTTCTAATTCCTTTGGGTACCTTTGTCACCTTATTTGTTTGTATAAATCTGCCAGCGCTCACTCATAAATGCTGTAATTTGATTGGCCAAGCTACTCTTTTGTAGATCATTATCTAACAATGTACAGTGGCCACTTTAATCTGCGCTATCCTCCTTAATTACAGTGGTTGCTTTGGGTCACCGTGTTTGTTATTATAAATCTTCCGGTGCTCCATGTAAGCTACTCCATTCTGGATAGTCACCTAAAAATGTAACAGTATAGTGGCCACTTCAGTCTACGCTTTCATCATAAATTACCTCGGTCACCTCGTTTGTTAGTATAAATCTATCAGCGCTTTATCACAAATGCTGCAATTTGATTGGCTAGCTATTCAAAATCTAGAACAAATAGATTCCCTGTTTCCCTGCGTCAGTTGAGTAAGTAATAGACAACAGATGAGGTCATAGTGTGGTTAGAACAAAAGAGTGGCACCCTTACCTAGCCCGAGAGTGTCAGATGTTTTACCACATATTGACGTCATCTGTTACTGTAGAGGAACACGGCTACATGAAATCTGTTTTACATGATAAAGGCAAATGTTGTAAATGGTGACCTCGTTTACGCATCTATCCGCCAAAAAATTATAAGCAATAACCAATCAAAAATGCGTGTAGGATTCAACTTATCATATAATAGACGAATTATACAGTGAGTAAAGACTGATAGTTTTGAAAGAAACTGTTTGGGGCTGCGTCGGTGGGAGTAACGAAATAATTTGGATAAAGTTGAAGTGGTAAATTGGCCACTGTAACGATTACAAAAGCTGACGTTTCGAGCGTTAGCCCTTCGTCGGAGCGAATGAAAATCGTTACGGTGGCCAATTTAACACTTCAACTTTATACAGTGAGTAGCCGACGGTCTGCAGTTGTAGAAAAATGAGCCTGCCTCGTGTTCAGTTTTGAACGAATAGATGATTTCTATGCGTGATAATTGGTTGAGGCTTCGTCTTCATCACCCAAGGTCGAGTTCTTATTCTAATTCTTAGTAAATAATGGGAAAATTCATACAACGTCAATCCTTTAAAATTTATATGAAACGAATGAGAGTAAATAAATACGTAAATTGAAGCCCCCCCTAGGGGCTTTTCAGCCATATTGTAAACTAGCTAAGTGCTTAAAAATCCCCACTGGCAGGAGGCAGACCGGTGGGCTATTCACAGAGCGCAGCCGAGGAGTTGAACCAGGGGCAACCGAGAACAAATCCAGTGAGCGGCAGAGTGGAGGATTTGAACCCAGGACACCAGATCACAAGTCCAGCACCCTAACCACTTCACCACGCCACCCCCCTCTCCCAGCGTCTCATCGATTGCTCCAATTAACACTTGACTTAATTTGTTTCTTATTTTTGGTTTTCAGCAAAACCAATCCGTCCTGGTCAGCAGCCAACCGCACCCAGCATTCGTCCCGGCAGCACCTCGGGCATTGGAAGTGCTCTACTAGGAATGACTCGTTTGGCTGGCGGAGCAGTCATGGGTTCTAACGTTCCCAATAGCCCCAGCACACCGAGTTTACCTAGCTCACCCAACGGTGCTACCATAGTGACGCCTGTAATTCGTGGCGGGAAAGGCTCGGAGCCGGTCGTGGCGTACAGCAAGAGGATACGAAATGCAGTGAGCACGGAATCGCTCAATCGGCCTCTGCCCCAGGGAAGCCCGAAGTAAGTCATTTTACACCTCAGCGATTGGCTGATGAAACATCCATTGTTCTTGTCAGGAATCCAAGTCAATAATTTGGATATATCAACAAAGTTGAAGTGGTAAATTGGCCACCGTAACGATTACAAGAGCTGACGTTTCGAGCGTTAGCCCTTCGTCGGAGCGAATATAGGAATTGTGGGTTGTGTGTGCTTTTAAAGGCAGAGAATGGAGCTACGTTATTGGTGAGAACATGACAACGAGAAAAACAAGAATAGATTAGTGGAATGAAAAGCGTTCGTTGATCCCTGTGGGATTTAGACTGCCGGTTTGAAAGATGAGCTTTTGTTCAAGATTTGTACGGCTTTCCGTGCTACCTAAGTGTAAGAAAAGACCGCAGATTGCCATATGTTGCTTAGAATGATTAGGTAAATTAAAATGTCTAGCGACTGGGTTCGATGTGTCCTTAACATTCCTTTCCACGTCTCGAAGGTGTTCTCGGAATCGGTCACCTAGTCTTCTGCCTGTTTCGCTGATGTATATCTTTTTGCAATAAGTGCAAGTTATGCAATAGATTACATTGGCGGAGGTGCACGTGAAGTGATCGGTGATCTTAATGGATCGTTTAGGTCCCGATATTTTATCAGTGTTGTGAATGAAAGGACACGTTTTGCATCGTGCACGAGCGCATTTAAAAGTGCCTGGTTGGTCATTAGTCTGAAAAGAACTTCTGAGCAAAAAATTGCCTATGTTTTTGTCGCGTTTGAATGAAATGAGCGGAGGCTGCGAAAAGATAGTGCTTGTCTCTGGATCGTTTTGAAGTAATTTAAAGTTTTTAAGAATGATGGATTTAACTGAGTGGTTGTGAGGGTGAAACGTGAGAGTGAATGGAATGCGGTCGGAATCTTCCTTATGCGACGTTTGTAGTGCTGAATGTCGATCAATAAGTTGGGCGCGGTGGTAACCCGCTTGAACGACAGAAACANTTCTTGTTTTTCTCGTTGCCATGTTCCCACCAATAACGTAGCTCCATTCTCTGCCTTTAAAAGCACACACAACCCACAATTCCTATATTCGCTCCGACGAAGGGCTAACGCTCGAAACGTCAGCTTTTGTAATCGTTACGGTGGCCAATTTACCACTTCAACTTTGTTGATATATCCAAATTATTTCGTTACTCCCACCGACGCAGCCCCAAGCAGTTTCTTTGGAAACAGTCAGCCCTTAATCCAAGTCAATAGTTTTGGGAATCACGTGACCTTTTGCGTAGCTAGGGCTGGTTTCTTGTCTTTGTTTCAATTTGAAAATTCCAACTGTTCTTAGCGAAAGTCTTGCAAGGAAAACCAGTTGCTTTACAGTTTAAGTCCTTAGGGCTAGTTGTTCGAAGGGCTGTTGGCGCTAATTAGAACTACAGGTTGGATTGGGTTTTGATCCACCTTGTATAGAAGTATCTGTCATAGCTGAGAAATGAAGGAAACGAAGTAAGCAACTAGATGTGTTTCCAAATCTCAAACCCTAAGTAACTCAGGGTTTGCTAAATCATGTTTGAATAACCCGGCCCGAGAGAGACAACCTGTCGTTTCCGAGGCAGACTGATTCCTAAGTCACAGGTAACAGTGTTTGGGTCAAATTAAATTTTTGAAAATTCCTGGTTGAAATTTGTTACGAATAGTGCATTTGAAGGATATTAAGAATAGTTGTAGGCGAAGCTTTTACCATGGAGTGGAACTGGTCAGGCTACATATTTTTTAGAGTTTTCTGCTGGAAGTATTGAATTCTGCACTTCTCTGTTGATACCAGACAATAGAGGTGGAACATTTATGTGTTTAACATGTATGCACCTGCTCTCCTGTTGCTCTCCATCAATCTAGTCATATCAAGAGTGAAACTTCACTGCTCTGATCAGGTTATAAATTATGAATTTTCGAACGAGTTTAACGCCTCAAGATGGCTGTGTTTGAAAAAAATGTTGTCCTCGTTGTTAGCTTTATTTTTGCGGCTTTACGCTTAGTACAGCTTGCCACAATACCTGGTGCCATGATAAACATTGAGCAGGATAAGTTATCGTCACACACAGAACTTTTAGAGGGTCTGAAACAGGCTGTGCGACTGGAGAACGCGCGAAATCCTAAACCACCTTTCAAGTACGTTTATCTACCGTACACACTCGACGCGGCCAGTCAGATCGTTCAGGGAACAATGTACCGTGCGAATGTGAAGCTTGCGCCATCGAAATGTCCAAACAATTTGAATGAAACCAGGGAAGGTATAGAGGCGTGTGGAGTTGATTTTCTGAAACCGGATATTCTAAAGCAAGAAAAATACTGTATGTTCGAAATATGGTCGCGTCCCTGGCTTGCGGGAAAGGAACGCTTACTGATTCAGAAAGCGGAGTGTAAATCAACCGCAGCAACGGGACTACCCCAGCCGTGTCGCTTTCATGTGACAATGAAATTTACGTTCAATCCGTTGTGTAACTTACAGCCGAAAGGTTGATCAACGAATCTGTGACATGATGAGCTTAGCTGCAGATTTTGAAACGCGAAACTAATAACAGACAGTCAAGTTTAATCTCAAAAACTGTTTCGCGGAATCTAGTGTCCTCTAATTTGTAGTCTGGAGAACGGAACGCTAACCTTGTGAACCCAAGTATCAGTATGTTTTATCTTCACGCTGCTCTCTCTCTATACTTGTCCTATGGTACGGATAAGGAGACTTTGTTTAATAATTAAGACCTTGACTTGGCGATCATTTGTTTTATTCTCGTGGCTTTAATGTTTGATTTAGAGGTAACTCTGTAAGGAGAGAAATCACATGCTTAAACACGAAGGCGCGCTATATAAGGAAGTCTTCCCTGGGAAAACCTAGGCTCATTTGTCACTCACCGTTGACGTGTGCGGGTCAAATTTAACTGGGGTATCCACTACTACAAGCACTTTCACTCGAGTAAAACGACTTAGATGCAGACGTGAGAGCAAAGAGAGAAGATTCTGGACCAGACCAGGTCGACATTTTTCTTCTCTCTCGATCACAACAAACGCACGTGGTGACTTTACAACATGGACGCTAACACTTGATAACAAGGCGCTGAAGCAGATTGTAGGCTCAAACATCGTTTAATGCGTTTACGAGCGTTTTCGTGTGGACGGGTGAAAACGCTACGTAAACGATGATCGTTTTCGTGTGGACGGAGATAAAAATATGCGTTTACTAGCGTTTGCGTTTACAATCGTCTTCGTGTGGACGGGGCCTAAATGTTGGTAGACGAACAAAAGGAGCTAATGAGATATCTATTGTTTACTTCCACCAGCATGGTGGCATGGGGTAACGTGCGAACCACCTACTTCGATCTCAAATTTACCGCCACAAATAGACAGTTTCCATTGGAGAAAGGAAATACAAATGTCAAAAATTCTTGTATTGTGATGAAGACGTAAAACAATTTTGAGGAATGCGCCCGCTGTTCACTGCTTTGGAGTAGCTGTAGCTCAAGCTGATTTGACTCAAAGAGTTCTACATCACACGACGGTTGAGTGGGACCTAAGGCTCCTTTTATAGCGCGCCTTCGTGTTTAAGATTTTGAAGAACCTTTATGGCGTCGACAGGCGAGCAAAATGGTTGCGAAATATTAAACATGAAGTTGATCAAAATATTTGTTTATTTGTTATCCCAAGGTTATTACAAATCGTAGGTGTCTTTTATTTCTTTTTCGACGCACGATCGATGTCAAATGTTGTCATCCAAGCCCTCTTTATCAGCCCTGCAGGATGCGTGTTTCTGCACCCGCGGGAAGATTTCAGATGAGTTTGGGGGGAGTTTGGGGGGAGTTTTGGCGGGGTCTGGAACTAATAATCTCTAAATGTTGTTAGAGGTTGTTAGAGGGTGCTAGCTTTTACTGCTCATGGCAGTAATCTTGGCCGTTTTACGGCTAACGGGTAATAGCATCCGTTCTTGTAACCAGACAGTTTTTTTAGGGTTGAATTTTTTTTTTTTTTTTTTTACGACGATCAATTAAAATTTGTCAATTTTTACGCCTAACGGCTAAATGTTTCGGCCGTTTTACGGCTCTCGGTCAGCCCCCATGGAGACCCTCTTGTGACAACGAATCACTTAGCCTCAGCCTTTGTCTGTGTTCATGAGAAGCAAGGAAGATGCGATTCAAGTTCCTGGACAGTGTATTGAAATTACTATCTGTTTCCAATTGCAGTAGTTCCTGCAGGGTTCTTTGTTGATGTTTTTCTTCTTTTTCTGTTTTTCAAAATTCAAATTAGAAAACGAATGATTTTGTTAGAATTTTTTATTCCGTTTTTCCTGATGAGAAACTGCTTCCCATTTTTTCCAGTTTAAATGGCGCCCATTCCTCGCCAGATTACGAAAGAAGGCGCGGCTCATCAACTTCAACTGGTGCGGCCACTCATTCTTCTAGTGCGCACATGCGCGCTGCAGCTAGCGTGGATCGGCTCAACATGATGGGGGAAGGAAATTCAGGAAGAAAACTGCCCTCCATGCCAGACTCTCCACAACGGTCACCGTTGAAGATTTCAGGCAGGGAAGGAGAAATAGCAGCTATTAAAAGAAGCAACCGACGCTCTGCCTCTTCTCAGAACTTAGTTCACAGTGCAGATGGTGAGCGCTTGTTTTTATTTTGTAGTCACACACTTTTACAAAACGACTCCCAGACAAATTTCTACACTTCTTGCAAAGGTATCCTTCATTGGTAACGACGAACCGTCGGGATAATCTTTGGGGCGCGACGGAGAAGGGGAAGGGAGAGAATTTTAAAGACCTGGGTCGAGTTGTTCAAAGGTGGGTTAAGATAACCCAGGGTTAGTGTGAAATTTGATTTCAGATCCGAAAGCTTTAAAAGAAAATTAAGTTTATTTCCACTTGTTTACAATATTTGATGATTGAATGAGCTAAAAAGAATTGGGAAAATTATCCCAAAACAGCTTTTGAACAAAGAATATAGAAACCTGGATTAAAATTTATCTTTGGATTAGCGCTAATCGGCCTTCGAACAACTGGGCCCTGAGGATTTAGATTTAGGAATCTTTATCGACTACGGTTGTTTCTGATGGTAAGGATAGTCAAATCAAACTCAACTACTCCTTAATAATTGGGATATATCAACAAAGTTGAAATGGTAAATTAGCCACCGTAATGATTACAAAAGCTGACGTTTCGAGCGTTAGCCCTTCGTCGGAGGGCTACTCCTTAATTCTTTAACTTCCTGAAGTGATTAAAATGTAACTTCCCTTTACGATATCAATACATACTCTAGCAAACAGGTAATGAGAATACTCAAACCTCATCATGTAGAAGCCATCATCTTGATATAGTACCAAATTCTCGTAGCTTATTGACAAGGCAACGTGTAGCAGCTAGAGGGGAGAATTAACGATAAGGTCTGAACAACTGAAGGGTTAAGTGTCACGCAGGTGTAATTCACACAGCGTCTAATCACACGTGTTGCATTTATTAATTTATAATTTTTTTTTTATCTATTAGGTGGTCCTTGGGAGATGAGGAAACAGTCGGCTTCCTAAGTTCAATCAACTTGCCCCAAGAGAGGGCAAGTAGCGTCACGACTGTAAATCATTTTTCGTCTATTGCGTTACGCGTGACTCGTGGCCCACGAATGGTGCCGAATAAAAGTGTCACTTAGGTTCAAGTGCAGCAGCAGTGATACAGTTAAATATCGACATTGTTAATTTCTTGACACACACTACGGAGAGTGGCGATAAGGACAAACTTTACGGAAAAGAAGAATATAACTGTAGGGTGACAGAATTGTGGAAAATCTTATGTTTCCATAGGGATTCCCTCACGCGGAAAGACTCCTCGTAATTTCCCCCTGGAAAATCCGGCTCTCCTATTCAAGAATAATCGATAAATGTCCTTCGTCTGTTTGATATACAGACGGGTAGAGGGCACTCTGTGAGCCACGCCCTAAAAATGAAAATAGCTCTTTTGTTTGTAGGTAAGGGATAGAAGAGTGTATACCCCCGGGATAACATTGTACCACTGGGATTACAAATGTAGTTGAGTTCTCTACAACCCTTGGGTTCACGGTTAGTTTAATTTAGGAGTCATCGGTACAGGTGAAGGAAATCTGGTTTGGAAATTTTGAAGCATGCAAATAGTGTCAAACAAAAAAGTCTTATTTTGTGTACGTTTAAGTCATATTTAAACATATATTGGTTTTAATGGAGAGAAATTCATAGTGGCAAACTGGTGAAGTTTCGAACACTTCAAATTCACACATAATTTCATCAATATGTATATAATTTTATTCGAGCTTATTTTATTTGTGTTAGGATTGAGCAACCCATTTTGACTCTCGCAGCGAATTGAAGCGATTGTGCTCAATTTTTTTTTTTTTTTTTTTCAACCGGGTTGCTTATAATGTACCATTAAAAGGGAACTAATGCGCTGTTCTCCTTAAGAAGAAAAGTCGACTAAACGAAATTGTTCAAGGCAACATTTCTTACCTTAAAACCAACTTTGGTGACCAGGTACGAGGTTTCACCTTCACATCTTCAATTCTTTTTTCGAAGCATTGAAATATGGCGTTGCCTCGTGATATAACTTCGGGCAAAAAACTGAAAAGAAGTACATGCCAAGTAACTTGTACGCTTTCTTACTTCACAGGTTTAGCTTCTTTATTTGAACTACACTGTTTTGCCCACCAATGTTTAAATTGGAAAAAGGGCTAATTTTGAATTTGAAGAGATGGTAATCTGTTTTTACTAATTTTTGTCTTTTTGTAACCAGCAAAAACCGGAGAACTCCAATCTGGTTTCAACAGGGGGGGCAAACTTTATTTATTACCTAGTTCTTGAAAAGTTATCTCTTTTCAATCGCTCGTGCTAAGAATTAGAACATTTCTAACCTACGAAGGTTCTCCGAGAATTTGCCTTAGACGTCCGAAGCCTCAAACGGCACTTTCAGAGCTTTAGTTTTAGGTATGAATAAATGGCTGATGTTTTTATTTCGGGGAATATGTTACTGGGCTTTAGGGAGACTCAAACGGAAACAAGTCGATGAATGTAATGGTTTTAAAAAGTCTATTTTTAAATTTTAGGTGTCCGGAAAAGTGACCATCCGGTTGGACGCGAGGAGGGGAATTTGCATGTAAAATGAGCTTTCCATTGAAGCTTTTCTTCTCGAGTTATCTATTTTGTTTAGGACAATTGTCGCCTTAGAATTAATAGTTATGGAAGATAAATAAAAACCGACTCAGAGTAGTTCTGTCCTGGTTGACTTTTCTGTTGTCTGCCCAGTGCTTTGCGGGTTAACGCGGTTAACAGGTTGTGCGGTGCTTGAAGGTTCGAATGCAAGAGTCCCTAACACCGCAGTCTTGACTTAATGTATACTCCAAAATCGATTTTCCGAGTAAGGACTGGAACCTATTATTACTTTTCATACCCTTATTTACCGGAAAATAATACTAGGTTTCAGTGCTTACTCGGAAGCCTGAAGTCACGGACCATAACATCACGGTTTTGCGCTCCAACCAAGAAGGTGGAGGGGGCATGGGTCTTGACAACAAAGTGATTCAGCAGCAGGATGTCAAGACTGGTTGAGTTTAGGAAGAAACTTGTTAACTTTGTTTCCTTTTTTTTCTCCTTTTTTTTTTTCCTTTTTAAATTTTTTTCACAAGAATATACATTATCTCACATCTGTAACTGCAGTAATCGTGACCTCACAACACCGCGATGATAAAGACGATTTATTCGGTACGAATGATGTTGACGGTACGTGGGTTGAAACTTAAAACAATAAATGAATACGAAATTACAACAATTGACTAGTAAAAGTGACAGGAAAGAAATACACTGAACAAACTTGAAATGACAATACTTACATTGTTACGATTTCTACGAAACTGCTGGACGAATATAAACTGCCCAAAGGCGAAACAAAGATAAACTGGAGTAACTGCGCAAAGCGAACTACTGTATGATTAACGGAAGACTAAACTCTGAACTGAGAAAAACTAATTTATAAAAGCGAAAACGCCGGACTACCTAACTTAAAGTGCAATTAACGGCGATATTACGAAAGAAACTAATGAACGAAAATACGTGACATAGAAACAACAGAAGCTAACTAACCAGTGAGAAAATACTAACGAAGTACGAGAAAAAGCGACAACACAAAGGGACACCCTAATGATTGAGT